CCGCCACTGCTGCCACAGGCCCGCGACAGGGCCCAGCCGCTGCCGCTGCCGCTGCCGCCGCAGGCCGTCTCAAGGCGGTGGCGCCCGCTGCGTCTCCCATGCGCGCGCCGACCGCGGCCGCTTCGGGGCCGCGGCGCCCAGCGGGCCCGCGTCCTCGCCCGCGCCCGGGCAGCGCGCAGTCGCGGCGGCGCCCCCAGGCTCAGGGCTCGAGCTCCTGCTCGCATCACCGCCGCTGCTGCGGCTGCGCCGCGCGCCGCCGCTGGTGCCGCCGCCGCCGCCGCCACCGCCGCCGCCGCCGCCGTGGCGACGCTTCCCGTCGCGGCGCTGCGCCGCGCCGCCCGGCGCCAGCAGGGCATAGGCGGAGCGGCCAGCTTGCTGAGCGGCCGGCGCAAGCCCAAGCGCGCCCACACCGCGGGGGGCGCTGAGGCCCGCCGCGCCGACGCCCGCAGCCGGCGCGGGCACACGGTTGCGCCAGGATGCGTCTGCTGCGGCGACGCCTGCTGGGGGACGGGAGGAGCGTACGCCGTATTCCTGAGGGTCAAATCTGGATTTCCTGTGGCGTGTCACAGCGCAACGTGGCGGGCGGGACATGCAACGACTTAGGCACGACGTGCCCAGGCCGCCCACGAGCGGGCCCAGGCAGCCGCGGGCCCGCCCCCCACCTGGCGTCTGCATCGCCCCGGATCGCGGCCGCTGCTGGGGGGGCTCTAGGCGTCCGTCCTCCTCTGGTGAAGCCTATGGGTGAGGGAGTGGGGGTGGGTGGGTGGGTTTCAATGTGCAGGCGGCGGGCACTCTTGGTTCAAGAACGGGCACAGCGCCTCGCGAGGCGGGGGTGGTCGTAGGGCGAGCGCGGTGAGAGACGGCCCGGCGACTCATGCTGCATGAGTCAGCGGGGTGGCGCGAGGACTGATCCAAGGGGCTGCTGCCTCGCACCCTGTTCTTTGAAGGGACGCCCCCATTGCTGGAGCGCCGCCGCGGCTCCAATGAGCCCGGCTCTGAAAAATCCTGTGCAGTGGAGAAGCGCCGCTCCCGCTGGTGCTGCTGCTGCGGCTGCGGCTGCTGCTGGTGCTGCTGCTGCTGCTGCTCCTGCTGGGTGCAGACGAGCGTCGCAGTGGCTGGGCCAAAAGAGGCCAGGGTTGCGAGTGACGCCGGCGGCGGGGGCATGCCGGCCGCCTGCGCAGTAGCACACTGCGGCGCGCCCTGAGGCGGCAGCCACGTGTGCGGCGGAGTCATCGCCCCAAACGGCGGCGCGGGCGCGCCAAGCAGCGGCACGGGTGAGGGCGCGGGCAAGGGGACCAGCGCCTGGCCGCCAGCCGCCCTCACACCCGCCCCGCAACCAGGGTCGCCGCCATCGTTGCCTTCTCCAGGCTGCTGCTGCTGCTTCTGCTGCGACTGCTTCCAATGAGTTGCAACCGCCACCATAAGGATCCCCTGCAGCGGCATCGGCAGCCCCTGAAGCACTTGTTGCATCATCAGCGGCGGCATGCCGGCCAGCGCCGCCGCGGTCGCCTCCAGATGGCCCGCCCTCAGAGCCGAGATGATCGCCCCTTGCAGCATCGCCGCCGGCTGCGCCCCTTGGGCGCCGGCTGCGCCGCCGCCCAAGAGGGATGCGGCACCAGCCGCGGCGGGCAGGAAGCCGGGCGGCGGCTGCGGAAAGGGTGGCGCGAGCGGCGGCGGCTGCTGCTGCTGCTCTTGCTGCGGCCGCGCCGCCGGCGGCGAGGACGGCGCGGGGGGCAGGGGCTGCTGCTGCGCCGCGCGGCGCTTGGCGGCACCGCCGCCGCTGCCGCCGCTGCCGCCGCCGGGCCGCACGTCGCTTGGCGGGCCCATGGGGGTGGGCGTCGCGGCGCCCAGGCTGGGGCTGCTCAGGGCCGCGTGAGTGCCGGGCAGAGAAGCTTCCTGGCTGCTAGTCAAGCTCGCCTGCCGCGCCGCCGGCGCGGTCAACGGCCCCCCGCCGCCCGCGCCCCCCGCCACGGGCCCAGCTGTGGCCGCCGCCGCCGCGCTGCTGCCGCCGCCGCCGCGCGACGGGTGCGGGTGCGGCGGCGG